GGACTTTTCCCTAACACAACGGCAACTTAGTGATCCTTTCCGGTGCTGAAGCGTTAGCCGTCAAACACGCTGGGAAATTCTTGAAGGAGGAAGCTTTGCACTGCGTTCACCCGCTGCAGATGTTGCTCGGGGGGTCATCTGTCGGACGGCGGGTGATGGAGTGGATTCTTCGCATACCTCCAGCCGCTGGGGGTCACTCAGTCAAAGGCAGTGTCAGCGTTAGTCCAAGTTCACACGCTTCCAGTGGTTACAACAAGCCCTCACCTGTTGTCTGCGGTCACAATAGGCGACTGAAGGCTGATGCAGGTGGTCTGCAGAGAGTTTGTCTCCAGAGAAAGTTTTTGTTTAAGTCTTTAGCTTTTGTACTTATGGTAAATTCATTTTTATTAAAACACAGCATTACCCATCCTAACGCAGGTGACATTTTAAAACTTTGTACATATATATAAAATAGAGATATTAGACAATTGTATTTTCTCCATATTTTATAATTTTCAAATTAAAACAATAGTTAACATTTTGGCAAAACTCACATAAGGCTACAGTACGTCTCTACACTAGCATGAAACTCCAAATCATCCACTCTGCTCCGCCCAGCGCTCCGTCTCCCTGCTCCACCATGCTCTACTACCATCTGCTATGATTTGCTGTATTTGATTTGCTTTAGTTTCATTTCTGTTTTTGGTTTTTAGGTAAGCTTTTACAACTTGTGTGGTGTCCCTTTCTTTGTCCACCCTTGAGTTGCCCTGTGACAAACTGAATCAACTGTGAAAAAACCAGACAAGAGACACACTAGATGATGCGCTCTCATCATGGATCTTTGTTCATGTTCATGTGAAGAGCCCACGTGAACATCTCTGTGCTGATCTTTTGGGGAAAAAACATTTTGGTAGATCCAGGCTCATGAGTTGTGAAGTGATGTGATGTTTTGAAACCGTGGAATAGGATCAAGACTCTAACCCTTTTGTTGTGAGTTGTTTGGCAGTGCTGGTAACTGAGTTGAATCTGAAACAGAACGGTACTCTTAGATGTCTGGGTGTACATTTGGACAATTTACAGTAGGAAAAGCACAAATGAGAAAATTAACTACATCTTATTTCTACTTAGCTGTTTCAGGGTTGCCTCACTGGGACACTGCAAAAGAACAGAGGCAGCATTAACGTTATTAGCAATGACAATTCAAAATGCCTGCTGTGGAAAAGGCTTTTTGACAGTGGTACCTGCTTAATTATTACAGCGGTATCTACACAAACAACTGATCAGTTTGTCATTTATCCATACACTAGTATCCAGTAGACAAACAGCCTTTTGTCTCTGGGGCCAAGGTGCAAAAGAAACAAACAATATGGACACAAAACTACAGAAAAGCTAATTATCCAATACCTGAGAGGACGACTCGAGACCTGCCAGGGGAAGGAAAAATGTTGTTCTCATGCTACATATTTCTAAAAGACCAACATCAGTTGTCAGCATGTTAAATCTGACGTCTGTACAAAACATACAGGCTGCATATACACACACTCTCACCTGTATAATAACAGGCAGAGCTTTTCAAATCACAAACAACATTACATCGGCTCCACACACCTGTCCCAAGTTATCATGAGTGTGACTGTTCTCTTATGGCTTACCTTGACTCTCCAAACACACAAAACACACACACACACACACACACACACACACACACACACACTGTACCATGACGTCATCCTGCGGTCAGCGGCAGGTCAGCAGAGTGTGTGCATCCCTGTAGAGACAGCGTCTCCCAACAGTCTTTTGTCTATGTGACATTTGAGTGACTGCACAGAAGAGGTTCAGACCCCTGCAAACCAATCTCTGGCACTGTGTGTGTGTGTGTGTCTTCGGCCTGTCAAAAAGCAGCACTCTTCAAAGAGAGAGTGCCCCATGTGTAGAGGTCAGGACTCTGGAGTGTGTATTGAGTGTATGGAGAACATTTGCATGTAGTGACAGATGAGCTGTGTGTGTGTGTGTTTGCACATGAGCATCCCTGAAGCAACAAAATCTAGGTGTGTGAAAGAGTCTTCTGATGTGAACATATTGTACGCACACACATGCAGAGGGTCCAGTTACACAGACCGAGGTCAGCAGCTGAAGCTAAGGTATCGGTGTCTTTGTGGCCGTCCTGGTTTGTCTGTGAACTTCTCAAAACAGAAACCTCTCCTTTATTCTGTCTTTCATTTGATTTCCTTTCCATCTCTGTGAATGACGGCATGAAAACAAACTTGTTACCTTTATTATTCCTGTCAACAAAATGTTGGTTTTATTGTTCTCTGTTCCCAAGCTGTACCCAGCAGTCAGGGTGTTTTTTTAGCTCGTAACTATCATATTGAATTTTCATTTGTTGCTGCAAATGTGTGTTTTTTTGGTGTCACACGCTATTTTGGGTAGTACATCAAAGCTAGGTGATGAAAAAAATGAAATCCAAATAAGTTGTAGTGACTGTGGTTTTTAAGTTATTCATGAGTGTCTGAGTATTTTTTTTTTTTTTTTTTTTTGCTATAATCTTAGTTTTAAAGGTTTCACTTGAACTGTGGTGTTTCCTGGTTCTCTCACTGTCTCTGCCTTGAATCTTAAATTCAAAGTTGATACACGCTTCATTCGCATCACGGACACACATATGGTTTTGATTAACAACCTAACAGTAATCAGAGTCAGATAGCAGCACATCAATGAAATGAGCTTTGACAGGTAGATAAACATTTTGACTTTAGTTTTCTATATTTTATCCCAAGGTTTCTTCACCTCTGCCTCTGTCTGCATTTTTTTGGGATTGTTCTTCTGATCACTCACTGTATTGAGGTGTTCTATCCTCTTTCCTTTAGGCTGTCGAAGCTCTGTGACAGTAAACGCTGAGTGTTTGTGCCTTGTCTCTTGCAGAATAAGATCCTGAACAGAACCGGCTGCTGTCCAGTTTGCACTGAAAGTGAGTAAGTCTTTCTCAACCCTCCAGCTTCCTCATTTCTCTCCTCGTGTTATTTAATAATCAAAGAAAAGTCTTGAACTAGAGGTGATAGTTAGCCAAAGTCAAATCTATGAATTGTCCTTGTTAAAGCTATGAAACCAGACCTCAGTCCAGCCACTGGAGCTTCACTTTCCCATGAACTTCAGTCCAGACTGTGGTTTGACCTCAGGTCATTTGTCTTCTGTTTTTAGCTGCAAACTGCAGCAAAAATCTCCCATAATAGCTGTAAATGTACCGTTTCAGGATTACAACGACTCTATAACCTCACTTCTTTATAACATAGAGTTTTATCACAGCACAGATCCTGGTTCCACGTCTGAGTGAGTTAGATTAGTGCCACATATTTCACCATTTATTGTAAATGATCTTTGTGCTGCTGCCTGTCAGGCATCAACATATTTCCTTTTTAAACCCTCATATTTTGGGTTGTTGCTAGTTGTCCTGGGACAGAGACAGCGACCAGGTGCTGTCCCACAGCTGTTTTTTTTTGTCGTTCTTTCCCACGTTTCCTCCATGCTTCTCTCTCTCTGTCTCTCTCTCTGCAGAGCCGGGTGTATGTACAGTATTTGGCGACCCTCACTACAACACTTTCGATGGCAGGACCTTTAACTTTCAGGGAACCTGTCAGTACATGCTGACTCGTGACTGTGGCAGCCTTCCTTCTGGAAGTCCAGGAAATAACATCAACATCAACAGCCCAGACTCCAGCTTCATGGTGGGACTGCAGTTTAAGTTGACATGACATTTTACAGGCTTTTAAGGGCCACATTGGCAGTTATGGTTTTCAGTGTCACTGATATCAATTTGTGCATCTCTTTTTAGCTTAGCTTAGCATAAACACTGGCAGCAGGGGGAAACTGCTAGCCTCTTCCCACTGATGGAATAATATGCTTCAGTAAGGATGGGACAATATATTAAAATTCAACATATTCCGATACAAAAAATGTCGCAATATGTATTGTTTTGTCTAGCGATACATATCGTGCGGTATCCATACACTAGCAACTTCATATTTTTTGTACGTAAGAATGCCAGTCAGTATATCTGGTTGTTCTTTACATAATCAAGCCAGAATTGTATCATGATTGAATCGAATCGTATGTCGTGCATTGAATCATATCGAGAAAAAGCCGCATCGTCCCATCCTGACTTTCTGGTGACTCCAAAGTTCTTTTTTTTACATGTGGTGACCTGTTAGCATAGGAGCTGGCCACCAAAACATCCAAGTCAGCTGGGTTTGCAAATGCTTTCCTATTTCTACCTGTGTTAAATATAGAGGAAAAAGATGTAAATAAAGAAACAGTCTCTCTAAACACTGTTGTCCTGATGGATCAGTTTTAACCCACACCCCGAGTTGTGAACCTCTATGTGAACAAGCCTGAATAACATTCATAACTTTGAGTGAACTTTACTTTTATTGTCTATTACTCACTCCCAGGTTTTGGTGAAGAATGACGCCCGGCGGACACGCTCCTTCTCCTGGACTCAGTCTGTTGAGGTGAGGCTTGGAGGTTTGATCCTCAGTCTCCACCAACACCTGACGGTCCGGAGGAATGGCACCCGTATCGCCCTGCCGTACCACGGCCCTGGGGTGCACATCGACCTGGATGGATACCTGCTCAAACTCACCACCATCGCAGGTCAGTAAACATCAGTCAGGTCACATTTTTTTACAAGGTCGCGATTTAATGCCGCACAAGGAAGGATTTTTATAAAAATATTCATCAGTTCTCATTAGTCTCAGGTGAATCTTGACAAGGTTAAACCTTTCTTCTCCTCCCTCAGGCTGTATACTGTTTAAATTTAAATACAAGCACTGTCAGTGTGTAATTGAAAGCAGCTGTAACAACATTTTGCTGCTGGACAAAACAATGACTAGTTTTTTCTACCACTTTTATGACAACTGATCCAATTCTGATGAAGACCATGGTGTTGACAGCTGTTGAAGCTACTAAATGGATTTTTATCAAGATAATATTGTCCAATTAAAAATGTGAAGACCAAAGGTCAACAATGAACAAGTGTGGTCTTTCTAAAAGACTCACACTTACTGACTTTGACCTTTAAAACACACAAAAGCAGTACTGCCCAAAGAAACTTACTTCAGTCTAATGTTAAGCTTTGTTCCTCCACCTCCGCCTGCAGGTCTGGAGATAACCTGGGATGGTGACAGTTTTGTGGAGGTGGTAGCAGCCCCCCACCTGCGCGGTCGCCTTTGTGGCCTCTGTGGCAACTACAATGGCCACAAGCGTGACGATACCATGGGAGGTGATGGCCAGTTCAAGTTCGATGTGGACGATTTTGCCGAGTCTTGGCGAGTCGAGGGAAACGAGGTTTGCTCTGGGCAGCCTGCGCCTCGCCGGCCGACGCCGTTCATGTGCCCGGGCAGTGTCAAAGTCAAATTTCGCGCCCATCGGGAGTGCCAGAAGATAAAGTCATGGGAGTTTCAGAAGTGCCACCGTGTGGTTGACTTCACCCCTTTCTACAGGTGAGGACAGAGTGAGCACGCTGTAGTGACAAATACAAACAATGTCCTGAAAGTGGACAGATGGTGACATCACAACCCCCATGTCCAAAAATACCAAAAGTCACTCATTTTTTTCAAAGAAAGGCTCTAATCACAAGTATACTCACTGTTACACAATATATACTGTACCTGCCATAAAAATATGTACAGTGTTTTTAAATAACGTAAAGTAACAGGTGCATTAACAAATACAATTCAATTTAACAGACAAACTAACTTGGACTTTAAAACCCAGGAAAACAAAGGTACACTTTGAAGAATGTGAATATGTACACACGTATCCATCTGTGGTTCTGAACAATGCTGTTCATGTAAACTACCCTCTGCCCAAAAACCTGGCACTAAACCAAACCAAATCCTGCCCTTTGCAGGTCGTGTGTGACAGATATGTGCGAGTGTCCGGTCCATAAAAACTGCTACTGCGAGTCCTTCATCGCCTACAGCCGAGCCTGCGAGAGGGAGGGAGTGCCTGTCCTCTGGAGGCCTGACACCACCTGTATGGGTGAGTGGCAGCACCGGTGACTCAATAATAAATCTCATGAGATGAAAAGTTAAAGACGGGGTATAATATTAAATGATCATAGACAACTTTCAGCAAACATCAACACTGTTTGCTTTTTCAAACTGGATGAACATGGCAGCTTTTAGGAATACGCTGCCACATTTTTTCCTAAACTAACCACCTCCATCAGCTTCTGAATAAAGTTGAAGCAAAATAATTCCACTTAATAATTTAAATTTCACCCTGTGGAGTTCAAATATTTGTACTTTACTTGAGTATTTCCATGTCCTGCCACTTCATCCTTGGACTTCACTTCATGTCAGAGACAAACCTTGTACTTTTTACTGCACTACATGTATTTAATAACTTCAGTTCCTTTTCAGAATCAGATAAATCAAACCAAACACACTTAGAATCATCAGACTCTATTGATCCTGGTGGGAAATCCACCAGCTACCCAGCAGGATGTAAAGTACTTGACAGTATAAGTATATAAGGTAGTTAACATCAGCTCCACCATAATGCATCAGTCATTATGATCCAATCCATAGACATTAATGTGAAATGGGCCATTCTGCAGGATGACTGCTGGTACTGTTGGTAATTCAAGTATATTTTGATGCTAATACTTTTACTTAAGTAACATTTTGAATGCGGGATTGTTTTTTTTTACCTGTAACAGAGTAGTTCTGTACTGTGGTATTACTGCTTTTACTTCAGCAAACAATCTTCCACCAGTAATTAAATTAGGATTCACATCAGCATTACTACAGCTGATTGGCTGAACCTTTCACCTTCTCTTCCCTCCCATCAGCCACCCAATGTAAACACGGAGCCGTGTACGATACCTGCGGCCCGGGCTGCACCAAAACCTGCGACAACTGGAACGAGATTGGACCGTGCCAGAAGCCCTGCGTGGCTGGCTGCCACTGTCCCGCCAACCTGGTGCTGTTCCAGGGACGCTGCATCAAACCCACATCATGCCCCGGACGGTGACCTTTGTGATCAGGGTGGGAGGGGCGAGTAGATTAGGAAGGGTCATTTAGTTTCAAAACTCTAGAGGCCAAACTTGTTGAGAAGAATTTGGGAGGACACTAAAGGGTCTGAAGTCGACTGACGTGACGCAGCAAAGTACTCGGGGTCCATATCTTCACAAGGAGGTGCACTGCAGTAATACTACGCTGGTGGACTGAAGATATGGATGGGAGGCTGACGCTCGCTGTTCTATGGCCTCTTGCAATATCATGTACTGTTCCAGCACCAGTCCCCATCTCAGGAGCTGCTAGTTTCAGCCTTGTAGAGGAACTGAACTCCCAGGACAACTCAGGGGCCCTGTGTGAACTTTACGAACTCCATCATCTGAGGAGGGTTTGACATGCTGCTACAGACCTTCATGAAACAATGTGGGCCAGCGGACTCCTATTGGAGCCAACATGGCATCCGAATTTCTCTCACTTTAAAGTGGGAAACTGAGCATCCGCATTTGGATTCAAAGTAAAGAAACTCTGATTCATCATATCACTCTTCCCTCATGATCTCTATCTGATCATTTCCTACAGTAAGCTAGCCAGATTTATATGAAAGTCAAACAGCTTTTATATAATTATTGTTCTAATTATTATTTGTTGTTGATGTTGTTAATTTATATATCGGTCAAATGACGTCGTAGCAAGAGCCAGAATCATAATTATAACTACATTACAAGTGATTTAAAGGTAAACAAAAGTTATTTATGTATTTGCTGTGTACTGTTGTGTTACTGTTTGAAGAGAATTGCCCAAATGTGACTCAGCTGTTGCACCATCACAGAGACAAAGTGCTGCATTGTGTTATGCTCCGTGTACAAGTTGTTGTGGATAGTATCAAAGTGAAGGTGTTCATCTGAGCAAAATGTTTCATTTGACGATAATTATTTAAGATCACTAATATAATCTTTTATCACGGTTCAGTTCTGACTGCTGTCTTTACTCTTTAAAGTGTTGAGATCTTCAGTAACTGAACTGAAGGTCGCTGAATTGAATGCACAAAGAAGTGGGAAAACTGAAGGGGGGGGGCTTTTCTTCCATCTTTGCTTCTTTCTTGTGGAAAACAGTTCAGAGGGGGGAAAAAAAATCACACTTTGAACAATTTATGGCCATGCAACCTCTGACAAGTTAATTTTGCTTCATATTAAGCAAAATAGTTTGAGAAACACTGATTTGGAGGTTGAAAGGTTTTTTTTGCTTTAAACTATATTCCAGAAAACGACCACAGTCTTTCATAATGATATGAACTGCAGATCAGAAGGCTCCCCTTATCTCAGGAGTAAATCTGAGACTACTGCCATGCGATCTGTTTTATCGTCCACTGTGACACAGAACAACGACTGTGGCGGCCAGGAGGTGGTGTGGATGTTGGAAAGTTGCAGAAGAAAACAGAGGCAGGCCAAGCAGGGCAAACGCCACGGTATCGATGCAGAGGTGAGGTGCACGTCAGCCGTCACACACAGCTATTAACCCACTTAGGTCAAAATTAATTTACAGTATAAGAAAAAATGAAATGTTAAACATTTGTTTTAAATACATTTGCACACTTTTAATACACACCATATTTGTACAAACATATTTCACATCAATCTACCACTAAAACACGTTCATTAGACAACAGAAGTGTGATACAATCTTCAGAGGAAATTCCACAGTGGAAAATTACACCTGCTTCAGCGGCTTGTTTATTCAACAGTTCAAGATATCGAAGAGTTTCATTTCAAAATACTGCATCTCCATTTATATTAACCACAACGTTCATTACTAAATATTCAAAAATACTGATAGTAACATTCTCTAAGTATTTAATAAAATGTACGCTACCAGTCAAACATCTGGACACTTTCCCATTCAATTCAATGGGAATTGTGTGTCCAAACTGTGTATACACAATGGACTGCATCAGTGGGAGATGTCGGCGGCGGCAGAGGTTCCTCACATCACTGACTCTGAATTTATATAGTGAGATGCTGATGTGAGTGGGTTTTCTCACTTGGCTGCACACAATGTGGCAACACGCTGCGTCTGAACCTATATATTATTTACTACTATAGTAAATACCAGTTGTATGTACAAAATTAGTTACACGTCTCTCTACACTTGCCAGTAATGATGCAAAACAATTCTGATTCCTAAGGGTCTGAAATTTCGGTTTACATCTCAATAAAAACAGCGTGTCTGTTATGTAGGCAACTATCTCTGTCTGAGCTGCTGGTTTGACTGAAAGAGCTGTTGTTTCTCTAGTGTTTTTGTCCCTCTGCATATGAATGCAGTCATGCAGAAGGATCTCCAACATCGTATCTACACAACGCAGCACGTCAGAGAGGCAGAAGCTTCAGTTCAGTATCATGAGTAGATCACCTGCATTTTGACAGCGCTACGAGCCCAACACACAAACACAGTAATTAAAAGTAGACCATGAAATAGTAGAGAACAGACTTGAAGCCACTTAGAGTCATAGTAATGTGGTCTGTGTGGACAGCTACAGTCTGTCACGTGACTAAAAAAACGTGGATGAAACACCTTTTCTCTGATGCCAGACGTGTGCCTGTATTTTCAGACAATGACTGATACCACCTCCATCTGATAAAAAGATTGTTTAGTCAGATTGTTTGTGGAGTCAGCAAAGAGAGGACATCCGTTGACATTTGACCATTTTGTCCTGCAACTTTTTTTGTTGTTGCCACGTCCTGAAAATGATCATTTCATTATAATTCAGTTTCTCCGTTAAATTTGACCTTTGTCAGGCTGAAAACGCTCCATTACAGAAAACATATTGTTGGACTGAAGTTCACTCCAGTCATTTTGTAATGAAACTCTTTGATGTGTTTGACTGTGGATTGTTGCACTGAATTAACAATGATATACAGTCCGACCAATACCAAATGATACTCACTAGCAACAGTGAACCATCGCTGACGGCACAACACAATCAGCCCCAGACACAAGCAAAGGGAACACACATACGGACATGACACTGTAACACTGCACATGATGTGGAGCAGTCCAACTCTTTGGCTTTTTCAGAAAATGACACATTCACCTTCATTTCCAAACTGAAATGCTGTAAGGCATGGAATAGTACTAAGGTATGAGTAGTATATGAAACACCCGGATCAAAAATAAGATCTTCTCTGTCTGAACAAAATGACATACGACTGACACAACCAACTCTAAATGAACAGTGGTCATTTAGAAAGAACAGGAACCAAAGCTCTTTACCATATTCAATCCTGTGTTGTTTGGGGTTTCAGGGTTTTTAAAGTTAAATGCTCCCATTCCTCAGATATACTGCAGGCATGCTGATTAATGACTGTGATAGATTTAATATCATCAGTAACCCTTTCAAACATTGCTATAACTGCTTATAGCTGGAGTGTTTGTGACATTTGTAATATTCACTGATCACATGAGCGAGAGGATGATACTAAAACACTTTTAAGCCTTTTCATCTGACCGTCACAGCAACTAACGTAAAGAGATCCCTAACACAAAATGTATTTGTGTTAAAAAGTTTCCACTCCAGCCAGTGCAGGCTCAAACTGCGACCATATTTGGCCAATGCCACCAAACTCTGCAGCTCAGTTGGGACTTTTAGCCATTTTAGCTCATTGTTTTGGATTCTCCAGCTGCACACAGATTATATGTCTGGCTTTATAAACTGCAGCAGCTGTTTCCAGCAAACGAGCTTATACAATGAGAAGGTAAAATGTTCAGCACTGCATGGCAGAGAGCCAAAGCAGGTGAAGCATTTAAACAGCCAGATACTTTACTCAGAGGTCAGTGGAGCCCAAACCAAAGCTAGCAGGAGAGTGAACACTGGACTTACATTCAACTGTTTGCTAACACATTAGCAATGACATCATTATGAGCTGATATTTTTTTTCTGTGAACGTTTTTTCTGCCCCCTGGTGGTGCTGCAAATACTGTACCATGTGGCCCTAAATATCAGCACGCCATTGAAATGTCACATTTCCTGTGAGGTTGTTAGTAAAAAAAAAAAAAAGCACTGAAACTCATAACCCACACAGCCAAAATCTGATTTTCACAACAGCAAACTGTCAGTTAGTTTAGCTAATGTCCTCTGTAACTAAAAAACAAGATTGTCAAGCTCAATATTTCTTACTGTCAGCAAATCTCAACAATTGATCATATTAACGAGTGCTGTGTGATACATCTTGTTCATCTGTACCACAGAGCTCCACTGCTGTCTAAAACTATTACATGTTACACTGCTCACGTTATTCATCACCACGAACACACACACTGTAGTTTATTTTGGCGCAGTCCCATCCACACTGTCCTGCCCCAAATACTCAGTAGAGCACCAAATGCGTATTAATCCTCTGTTGGAAATAGTCCCCAAGAAATGCTCTGTTTGAGTAATGTTTGCTAAAATCCAGTTTACATAGCTGTTATGAAAAAAAAAAAGAAACTTGTTTGGTGAGTCATGTTAAAGATGTACTCCTTACTTAATTTACTCTCTGAGGAATCAGTGAGCTTAGAACTGAGAGCCACACACAGGGCAGGGAGGTCAGAGAGCATTCATGGGAATTGGTGACAATAAGGAAAAAACCAGAGTGACAGGTTTATTCCTGAATAAAGTCTGAAAAAGCCTTTAAGTTAGTTATGATCTTTACTGGGATTCATGTCTACATTTAAACTAAAAGGCGTTGAGATAAGGAAGGCACAGGCACAGGCACACTTACTAACAGAGTAGCAGATGGCACCACATAAGGGTTGTGTTACTCATTCACGGGGTATCTCTACAATTTTTGTATTCTTAGCACACTGATAAAAACGTGACAGTGATGCAGAAAGGCCTCTTACAACCTTCTCTGATAAACAGCGACACAAGGGGAGAGGAAAAGCGCTTGAACACAAACCTCAACCAAAACACATGACACAAGAAGATAAAACTAGATACTCTAAGTACAGAAAATATGTATGTGCACTCTGCTATATAATCTCCCATACTCATCAGATTTCTTCTTCTAAAGCTTTGCTATATAAAACAAAAATATACATCTAATAAAAAATACACTCTTAAAGCTCCAGGCTGGCCAGGATATGCTCAAATCAAATAAAAGTTATACACCTGGGGTCAGCTACCACAGCAAAGGAACAGGTGAATCAGGCAGAGGAGGAGGAGGAGGAGGAGGCATTGGGGAAGAGACAGAGACTGACCAGCAGAGGACTCAGTTGTCATCACTGTCACTGCCTGACTCGCTGAGCTGAAGGTCGTTTCCTGTGAACATAGAACGTTGTTTATTGGACAATTTTATAATGAGACAAAGATCGATTCAGAAAACTGATGCTGAATCTCTGTGTCATCTCAAGGCTGCGGACTAATAATGTGTGCTCACATACCAAGATACACGTTTGGACCACAGGCACAGCACAGGACCTAATTAATATGAGATCATGAACTCTTTGAATTGGAGGCTTTTACTTATTTTCCCCTTTGTTTACAGGTGCAGTTTTTGGCACTGCCACTAAACGTCTTCAGTAGTCAGGCCACATATTGTTATTTTCAGAGTAAATATTTCAGTTTTTGCCTCTATGCCCACAGGTTTCCACACTATAGATGTAGAGTATATGGAGGGAAGAGTCAGTGTCACAGGAAATGGCACAATATGTGTGATGTTGTCAGTCAAACTGCTCCTTTGCAGAGTTAGTACTAAATATTTTTCATAAGATTTAATATGTATTTTTTTGTCTTCCAGGATTTTCAGGAGCTGATTTCTTTCCAGCTGTGAGTAGCCCCTCGATTTCCTTTATACACTGCACTGTGTGCCTCAGCAGTTCACTCCAAATTGGCCATATTTAGTCCATATGCTGTTTGAGTATACTTTATACTTTCAACATATATTTTAACTTTTCTAGTACGAGGCTATTTTTTACATCAAAGTCCAGTCACATTAGCATTAGCAGTTTGAGGTGTTACAACACAGATGACTATCACCTGGATTAGTATAGATACTCAAAAAACAAAACAAACAAGCATCTAAATATGATGATTATGAAGCAGAATTAGAATTTACAGTGTCTCGATATATGAAAGAGTGAGATACACAGGTTTCAGGAGTATGTGTGTATGATGACTGTGTGTTACAATGTGTGTTATGAGATGGAAAGAAAGAGATTGTATTTTTGACACAAATTGTATCAGTCCAGTTAAAAAGATTAATATCATGGCACCTCCATATCTGGGCAGTAGAAAGGGGCTACTGGCATTGGCCCCAAATAAATTATTTTGAGTAGCCCTCAACAGCAAATCGTCCATGTGTATCTGCAAAGAAATATCTGCTAACAGCAAAGTGCTGCTGTAGCATAGTGTTGTTGGACAAAAATATTTTATTCATGCATTCCCCTCTTCCTTGTCTCTGACCCAGTGCATGCTGGGATGAGCTACAGCCTCCCGCTACCCTGAACAGGATTAGCAGCAGACCCTCAGATACCCACGGAGTGTGTTCATGAGCTGGTTGTTGCCCTGCTGCCGGTCGCCTCCTCCGTTGGCCATTGGCTGGCGGGTGGGCGAGGTCTGGCTCATAGGTCGGGGGGCGTCGTGCTCGCCGTCACTGCTGCTGCTGTCGTCACCGCTCCCAGAGGCGCTGGCTGAGTCAGAGGAGCTGCTGCTACCACTGCTGCTCATCTGTTCTATCACCTCCACCTCTGCTCGCAGCTCTGTCAACAAGGCTCCATGGGTTAACATGAAACCCACAGACATGGAGACAAGTCCCCCCCTCATTTCTACTAACTAATTTAATGACAGATTTGTTCAAACACAGCATACATGTCATGTGAAATGATATATTCTGTGTTATTATTATGCTAGGATTTAAGTGTACAGGAAAGCCTGCCTGTCCTTTGGCTGCACTTTCTCACCTCTCTTGATGTCGTCAAGCTGAGGCTCTGGGGAAGGGTTATCCTTAGAAGGAGATGGGGAGGTTTTGACTCCGGCCCCAGGCTTAGTGGGTGCTCTGAACTGTGAGCTGGCCTGGCTGGAGCGGGCCGACTGCTGCTCGATCCGGGCCTGAATCTTACTACTGCCCTCCGCCCTGAAAAAAACAAGAACACAGCAGATGAAAATATTGTTAAATACACAGCACATTAAATTTGGTGCAATAGCAATCAGTGTCCAACAGGTGGAGCTGCAGACATCTGATAACAACTTTAAAGCATCAAAAGACTGGATATCTATAAATTATCGTGGATGAAGAAATGTAAACAAACAAATGATCTGACACCGCTACAAAGAAAGCACTGGTCCCAGTTTCTCTGAAGTTTGAGCTCTCACCTAGTTTTCTTGACCTGAATGCTGCTGCTCAGCTTCTCCAGCACAAATTCCCCAGTGTCGTGGTTAATAATGAGCACACAGTCCTTCTGGTATGGCCGCTTGTTTCCCTTGAATACTGTCATGGGAGGCGTGGAGCCCTGGAAGAACAACAATAATTTAAATATGCATCACCTCTGTTTGTTTTACCAGACCTTATGGCACAAATGATCATAATGATTCATTATAAATGTATCAGCAGTTATCTCGATTTCCTTGACACTTCAGTTGACCTACAGGTACCTCCACATCTTACTGGTATTAGCTCAGATGAGACAAGATGCCTCTACTATTTTCATTCTTCTGTCTGTAGTTTTACAAAGGCTACCATAAATTTTAACACAGATTTTCTTCTTTCCAAGCAGCAGCTGTGTTTAATATTCACTTGCACTCTTTTGACATTTTCATAAAAGGCACATGATCACCGTGAACATTTAATCATCTTGTCAATCAAGTCAATGCTGTGTTTTCATCATATTTCAAGTGAACTTAAAAGTAGGAATGTTTTAAAAATCATCTTTTACATTTACTTCATGAATGTTGTGTCGCAGTCTTTTTCTCAACATCCACATCCGCTCATTGTTTGGGTTTGATTTTTTGAAAACGTAGAAAATCTTGTAATACTGTTCGGTAGTACTGTAATCAAAAGGTGGGTGAAAGACTGTTTTGCTAGAAAAAGAAAAAATATTTCCTGCTCTTATTTATTTATAGAAGGAAAAGAGCAACAGGCAGTCTTACTGGAATATGAGGTAATGTTATGGTAACTTCATCTCCTTTCCCAACTTGTAGCTCTCCCTCACAGCTTGTGTCAATAGATGCAGGTTTGAAGTCATCTGTAAAAGGAGAGTATTGGATAATTCATCCAGGTGCTGGTCAAAAGCAGGTAATGCAAAACAATCAAAGCTCATATAGTCCTAATCCATGTAGTATAATGTTTAAAATGTCAGAATGTGCTGGATTCTGATAATGTTATTTCAAGTTAAAATAATCTGTTAATAATGTATCTTTCTTTTTTACACAACATAATCTAAACATTTTTATTCTTGGAAAACAAACTCTGAAATAAAAATCTGTTTATAAATTGCCTCAAACTGACTTATATTTCCACATTGCAATGTCCTGTTAATTACATATATACCATGCATGCATAAGATTTGTTGCACTTACAAAGTATAAGTGAAATTCTGAAGTTGTCTCAAAGCTGAGTTAGTGTGCACTAAGCCCTTTCTTAAGTTTTTTTAAGAACAATACCTCACCAAAAATAAAAGGAACAAAACTATCTCACAAAATCTGAACAATTCAGATGTCACATTAGTCCTTATTCATGCAAATGGCAACACAGAAGCACCCTGGTTAAAGAGCACATCCAACAAAGTCCAACTTATAAACAAGTATAGACAGAAATGCCATTAAAAGATCAGGAAACAACATGTTTTTGAACTGGACTAGTGTACTAGTACTTTGCACCCCTCCCATATAACGTTAGTTCACAAAACAGATCTAATATAAGAAGCAGTGACACCCCCACTCATCTATAACCTGAGAGTCGTCTGAATATGCTGTAAAGTCAACTCAGTGGGTGTAACAATAGTTTTCTATGCAAATTACAGAATTTTCATATCCGCATAATTGGCTAGGTTGTGTGAGAGACAGCCTCCCCGTCCATGTGAGCGACCTAATCTCACACAATAGTTTATTTAACACCGCGCGGCTCAAGGTTTCTCCTCACACAGCGCGTTTTTCACACTCACATCTGATGGTGTGAAAGGAAGATTTTGGCCTCTTCTCAAAGCTTTCTCCGAGCTTCAAAACATGCTCCTCTTTGTCCAGCAATGGATTCGTACTCCCGTTCATGTTTGATTTAGTATTTAAAATTTCTCATTTAACTACGATAGTCTAACGAGCCGAACCGTTTCTCAAACTTCAGGGAGATTATAATGAGAAGCCAAACTATAGGACAAAGTTAGCTTACTGTTGCTAACATTTAGCAAAACATTAATGTCGTCACTCCTCTTCCGGTTTTAGTCCGGCGATAAAATGCGGTAGAAATTAGTTACGTTAGCAGCCCTGCTTTTTTAAAATAAAATATAAAGATTGTTGATGAATGATTTGTACAACACATTACATAATTAATCGTAAAATACACTCTTTAATTTTATTTTAAATTTTATTCAATAGGTACAGAGCAATGATAATCCCGACGCCCTTGGTAAAAATAGCGGAAAGGATTGTAAACATTACACGGAGGAATTTAAGGAACGGACATTATGGACGCAAAAGGTGGGAAAATGTAGCAAGCCCATTGTTTTTTTTTTTTTTTTTTTAATTGCAGTTCAGTTTTAACAATTTGTATTGTATAAACAACTGCAATTGTTGCAAAACGTATGGTATGTTTGCTTTCCCATAACTTAAAACTTAGTAAAGTTACAGATTTTACTAAGAGACGGAGAAGCAGTACCCTATTTGGCTATTTCAAACCGGTATGGAGCTGTCAAAAAATGAAAAATTCCCAAGTGATATTAAAATGGCACCGTCTGAAAAAGAAGTGGAGTCAAAAGAGGAAAGTTCGCCACGAATCCCAAGACAAACCAAAACCTCCACGGCAAGAGTTTTAAGTCATGAGGATCTGGAGAGACTCAGCGGTGACCAAGCTCTAGTGTCCGACTTCAAACACATGAAATTGGAGAAAGAAGCTCAGAAAAATTGGGACTTATTTTACAAAAGAAACACCACTAATTTCTTCAAGGACAGACACTGGACCACCAGAGAATTTGAAGAACTCAAAGCTTGCAGAGAGGTGAGGAAGAGAATAGACCGTCACAATCTTTACTTAATGAAACAAACAATTAGAAGAAAATTGTTTTCATTGGGTTTGGTTAAATTTAACTCCACCTATGGTTACGTTATTGCCAAGTTTGGCTAAGTGTTGAGATGCATAACTGTCATTACCACTTCTGAGGTAAAATAGCCCCGATACACATTTTTTCAAGCACTGAAACCTCAGAGAACATCTTGCCAGGCTTTGTTGAAAATGTGCTAATTTAGCCAACCTGCAATTTCAAGCTTGATAGTACATACATCTGTGTCTTTTACCAGTCATTTGTGTCTGCAGATATTTTGCCACTAAAATAATCCATGTGAATTTTAAGAAAGAAAGTGACAGGAATAAAGGGGTTCAAATTTTTAAGAAAGGTATTTATCAACTTGGAAAAAGTCATTGCAAAAAACTTTGATACTGTGAGTAATCCTGTTTTTATATCAAGGTAGTTTCATTATTTGAAGCCAAGCAGGATAATCAACAAAGTGGTAAACTGCTATTTGGTTTGTAGTTTGAGTCCCAGAGGCTGGTGTTGCTTGAGGCCGGCTGCGGTGTGGGAAACTGCATCTTCCCTCTGCTAGAGGATGACCTCCGCATCTTCATTTACGCCTGTGACTTCTCTCCACGAGCTGTTGAATTTGTCAAAGTAAGATATCTGTCCATCAGAGTACCTGGGGATCATCTTTGTCCATTTTTACTTGTATTCACACTGAGCCACACTTTTACACTCTGACCTGACCAGCATTAGTAGAAGCTAGTTGTTACACCTTTATTTTTTCTGCCATGGAAGCAATTTCCAAACATGCCTTATAATTTACCTACATTTGAGGAACGCTTCAAGAAATCATTAGGCTCTAAAGTCCTTCAATAGTATAAGATCTATTTGTATGATTAATGGTTTACAAAAATAGCTTTGTGAAAAATTCTCCTCATAATTTCCCAGAGCCTGCACCAGGGTCTTCAGGTTGCCTCTCTTGTCAAATCAACAGTCCAAAATGTAAAGACATTTAATTTTGTCATCATTAGTAAACACGTGCATAAAGTCATAACAAATGAGAAGCTGGAACCAGTAAATGTTTGGTGTTTTGTCATATGTTATTATCACATTAGATACTGTTTGTTTTCTTTCAGTCAGCTTCTGCATTAATCAAGTAACTGAATCAGTGCTACTGAAGACAGCGCTTACTACTTCTTCTGCTTTCAGCTGTTCCCGTTCAGGGTCACCACAGTGAATCCGATTCACATGATTAAATTTGGCACGTTTTTATGCCAGATGTCCTTCCTGAGAAGACGGCGCTTACTGGTGCAAATAAAAGCATCTCTTTTCTGTTTACAGCAAAATCCTCTGTACTGCCCTGAGCGCTGCTGTGCCTTCCAGTGTGATTTAACTAAAGATGATCTGAGGGGAAATGTGCCAGAGGGGAGTGTAGATGTTGTCACTCTCATCTTTGTCCTGTCGGCGATCCATCCTGACAAGATGAAGCTGGCTCTGCAGAACATCAGCAGGGTGAGGAACAGAGACAACCAGCTGGGATAAGACTGGGTATAATTCCTGAAGTATTGTGGAAAGCCTGAAAAAATTTTCAGTTGGATAATTTCTTATGAACTTTGAGAATCTTCTCCTTAAACTATCATCATCATATCATTTGCACAGAATTCTAAAACATTTCTATACACAGTCTAGTGTGAACAGTAAAAAAAAGACATTAGTGTTTTTAATGTAGTCTTGTGGTAACGTGTTTCATACAAGTAGCTTATACTGGTCTAATTCATGTGTTTTAAGGTGCTGAAGCCCGGAGGCATTGTACTGTTCAGGGACTACGGCCTGTACGACCATGCCATGCTCAGATTTAAAGCTGGCAGCAAACTGGGGGAGAACTTCTACGTCCGCCAAGATGGGACCAGATCTTACTTCTTCTCTAAAGGTTCGTAAACTGATTTAGGAAAGTCTGTGTGTTTTCTGTTATTTCTTTTGTTTGTGTCTGATCAGGACTGATTGATAGATTTTACATACCTTTCTATGCCATGGTTCACTTTTTTCTAATGTGCTCCTTTTTATAGGGTGTCCTCCCCCACAGTCCAAGACAAAATCAGCTAAAATGTTTTCCATCCACCTCAGTGTGTTTTTAACTACAGCTATCATTTTTTATTTTTAATCATTACTGGTCAGCTTCCTAAACAAAAGTGTCAAACCTGCAACAGTAGGGTAATATTTTTCATTTGTTTTAAGAGACAGCAGATAAAAATTGGAACACTAGAAAAAAACACTGACATTACCTACCAAGAGTCAGTAGTCAAATTTTTTGCAGGTGCGTGGGATTTATTTTTGGTTCTTCATATTTGTTCATGTTCATATCTTCCTTCTGTGTAGTTTTTGTCTTCTAAAGTCTGAACCTCCTCTTGTCATCTGTTTTCAGAGTGCCTGGCTGAGCTCTTTGAAGAGTCAGGCTTCCAGTCTGTAGCTAACGACTATGTCTTCAGAGAGACGGTCAACAAGAAAGAGGGGCTTTGTGTTCCCAGGGTGTTCCTGCAGAGCAAATTCACCAAGCCCGACCAGTCACAGAGCTCCTGATGTCACCTCATAAGTCTCCCAGAGAGAAGTGTCTGGTTGAAGTAGAATGGTAAAAAAAATTATGACATTTCTTTGGGGACTTGGTAGCTCAAATGTGTCACACAGAAGGGGGCCTGCAGCTGAGAGACTGGCGGCTTTGAATCCTTCACACCAAAAGGGAACTACTAGTGGGTAAGGTACTGTAGATTAATAATACCTTCTCCCATGAATTTACTGCGGTCCTTTGCTCAGGAGAAAGGTTCAGTGACACACTGGAGCTGCTCCTTTTCCAACACAGAAAGACAGAGAATTATGTGGCACTGTGTGGACATGAAATACAAAACTGCTGGATCAATAATGAACAGTTTGAACTCATAGTTCATTACCTTTGTAAAACTTTGATCAGCCAGTAGAATGTAATGGTTAATTTTAAACAAGTTCATTTTAATGTTTTTCACCAGCCGAGCTTATCTAAACTGGGCAAATCAGATGTGTTCAGCTGCTTTGTTTTCTTTCATACCTGTGTAAAATAGTTTTGAGAAATCGCTCATAGTCTCACACCTTGAACATGTGCTATAAACCACAGACTCACATAATAACCATACATATTCTGTAATTTCCTGGCTTTTTAAAAATAATTATTTAGGTGGTTTTCAAATATCTTTACATCCTTCAGATGGTTGTGTGCTCTGCCATAGGCCTTGATCCGTGACAAACCTCTAAACAGAAATTATTATGCTTTTCTGGTTTTAAATAATTTGCTTTGCATTTTTGTCTTGATGTGATAGTTGGATAATATTTTACAGATGTTATAAAAATCTTACCTGACTAAGAGAGCAGTCTATTCAGTATACTGTAACAATGAAACAGCCTCATCCGCTCCAGTTTGACATTACTCAGGTTGTCCAGCGGGGTGCACTGTTTGAGTGGCGATTAACCAAAAACACAGCCTGAGTATGGTTCAGTGCACAACAAAGAAACTCTCACTGGTTTCAAGGTGTGTGCAAGACAAAGCACACTGAGGTGTAAATGTCCTGTTGTCAGTCTGTCCCTATCTCCTGATGGTTATTGTAAACATACAGCCTCTGGGTCCTCATACTAAAATCCAAAAAGGCAGAACACAGCTTCCTAGTCAGAATATTGTCTTCATAAATTTGTCAAATATTTTCTCTTCTTTTTGCCATAACAGGAGGCTAAATGGTGCTGGGCTGGAGATCACCTGGGGGGGATCAAACTGGTAGTTATGGAGCTGTCAGGTTAACTGAGGATACCTTAAAACCTTGTGTACATGAATAACAGTGGACATTAAAAAACAAAACAAAAAAAAAGATCCACTGTGGTAAATTTGTCAGGGCTCTGTGCTGAGCACCTTGCATCATGCTCTAAATGTGGCTTCCTGTTCACTGAGTGTGCCACCCACTGATGCCCTTCTGGGTGAATCTTTCAGCAGAAAAGCACAAATGTGAAAAAGGTTTGAACATTTAAAACAAGACAAACGAAATGAGCAGTAATTATACAGACTCTCAACACATCAAACACTTTTGACCAAGTGAAGATTTTATGTTGCGAACATGAGGTTATTTCTGTTGCTTTCTAAACTGAGGATGTGAAGCCATTGACACAGAACTTGATTAAAAACACAAAACAATCTTGTCTGTTGTTCATACTGTATGTCAGCAGGTAAAAGTGACTGTTTTGTCTGTTTGGTTTCTCCTTGTATGAGAACTTGCAGAGGGTATTAAAATGCCTGTAAAATCTCATTTGATTCAGTTAAACAGTCCAGACATGAATTTGTATCGAGGGGGCAAAATATTAGGAACACTTTACATCAAATGCCTAAAGCCCAGCAGGGGTGTGAGACTTAGTGCATGTGTTCATGTCCAGTCCTTTTGCATTTTCACATGAGTAAATACTGTCATGCAGATTCAGGTAGAACTGTGAAGAAAATTAATTTGTAAACTTAATATCAGTGCCCACCTTGTCATTGTTCCCGTTTCTCTTTCTGTTAAGTTCTTTCACGTTTGTTTCATGGATTCAGTTGTTTGTTCACATGTTCATCTCTGTTTCTTGATTTCCTCTGTTTTCTTTACCTGTGGTTTACAGTGAACATAGTAAATATGTACATGGTATTAAAAAAAACAAAAATATCAGAGAAGAATCAACAAACTATATCCTCAGGATGTGGTGTTCAAGCTGTTCTAAATAAACATGAAGAACCCGAAAAGGCCGAGGACAAAACCAGGAGTGGACCAAGAAAACTGCCAGAGTGTGATGAGAAGTTTCTCTGAGAGGAATCCCAGCAGGGACCTGGCTCAGCATTGGGCAGCTTCATCTGGACACCAAGTTGGTCCTTCCACAGCCTGAAGAAGCTCGATTAGGAGCGGCGTTTGTGGAAGGACAGCAGCCAAGAAACCCCCTTTCCAGAAGGGGGACAGGAAGAAAAGGCTGAGAGACGCAAAGACTGGAGTGAAGATCAGTGGAAACAAAGAATATGGAGCGTTATGATGGAAGTCCAATCGCTGATGGTATAGGAGATGAAAAGGTGGAAGAATGAGTGTAGCAGCCTTCAGTGAAACACGGTGGAGAGTCTGTCATGGTTTTAAGACTGTCTCCCTAAAAGACTTCAAGCTGTGCAAAGGGAGGTCACACTAAATACTGACATTGGACTGGAGAAGCCATTTGGTTTTACTGCATTTTCTGGTTACATCTTGATATAGAGACCAAGAAATAAACATACATTAGCATTACAACCTTGCTAAAACAGCTAAACTAATGGTGGCCTTAGACTTTTGCACAGTACTGTATGTTAAGTACATACCCCCAGTGAACAACTATCAGAGAAACCGATGAACATGTTTGAATGATGTGCACTTTCACTTACTTGTAGCCCAGAGAAGTGTAATTCCAGTATAAGAGTCTGAATCCATCTAGTAGATGTTGAGATATTTCACAGGATCAGTGAACAGTGTGAACTCCTGTGGCACTAAAGAAATGGGTGGCTGCTGAAGTCACATCCTCTGATGACCATGAACATCTGTGCATAATTTCATGCCAGTCCTCCAATTTGGACCACACTGGTGGACTGACATGTAGACACTAACCTTACTGTTAAAGCTCTAGTTAAATGTCTTCAGATGAACTGACTTCTACTGGCAGTGGGAAAGTGAAATCCTACCTGCAGACTCTTCTCAGCTCAGGGTCAAAGGGACACAGTGTTTATCAACCAGAATTCTGTAGTTTAAAGTTACTAAAGTGTCTTTATACACAGATCAAAACTCCCAAGCTGTGAGACAGGACTAGGTGAGGTGTGGTATTCCCCTTCAATCTGACTGTACACAACCGGACGCTAACCACTGCAGCTTCATGTCCTGTGACAACAAGCACATGGTTTTCACATAGTTCCTGCTGTTGGAGCAGCTGCACTAACACACGTGGCTTTGTGCTCTGTACTCTTCTAGTCTGGCCATCAAACAACCAGAGGAAACTGCAGACTGAGTGCAGGTGGTTCAGTGCTGCAAACAAGTTGCAGCCTTGTTACTAATTTTAGCTGTTGATAGTGCAGTGACTTTTGTGCACCTTGACACATTGAGCCTTTACACCTACACAGGCCAGTCAGCAGGCACTCGGAGGTTTGTTTGTTCCACTGAATCTTTGCAGTTGCAGAACTTCTCTCCACACTGACAGAGACTGTGTGTTCTGGGGCTTTTGGCCTTTTTATTTCCAAAGTAGTCAGTCCAGTGCCATGAAAATTAGATTTTCAGATTGCATGATATTATTTTGACTTTGAGTACAGAACTAAATCACATTGACAATCCCATCTTTGCCCCAGTGTAAATTAGGGCTGGACAGTTTCCTGTATTGTTGTGAAATATGCTTTCTGGAGAATAGTTTGATAGATTGTTGACAGATAGGATTTGCAGGCACAGGAATGTTTTTTAGTCTGATAGTCTTTATCTTTAGATGTAACTAGATACAGAGTATAAGTAAGAAAGAAAGTAAGAGATATGCAAAGTGAAAGAGAGACGTGCAAGACAATGGCTGCTATTTAAACCCCGCCATGCTTTTGTAGTTAATCTGGACCAGATGCTTCTGCTCTATTAATAGAAAGTGTAGTATTCAGAAGATAACACAATTAAAAATAAGGTGGTAAATAAAGTCATGGTACTGTTTTTTGTTTTGTTTTTTATATATATATACTAACGAGTCACTGACTGACTTACACCTTGTATTGTAGATCTTTAATGTTCTGAGCAAAAGCCACAACAGCAGTTACAAAAAAGGAATAACTGAATAAACTGTTATTTCTTTCACATTCAGAGTAAAGATGATGATTGTCTCAAGATGCTTTTGGGAAATACAGCCTGGTGCACTCACAGAGCCAACTCAGCCAGATGCTCAACGTGGAAGACATCATAGCAGAGTAGAAATAAGGCGTCACTGTGCATCTGCATAAAAAAAAAAAAACATTTCAACTATGAACTGTGCCCATAAGCAGAGGCAAAAACTTGAAGAAAGTTCAAAGTCTACTCAGTTGTTCTCTGAGCATGACAATACCTTTGACAATGATTCTGATGAAATGTCCCATTGCTGTCTCTCCATTCTCTAGACATTTAGCCTTGCACTGAAAGTGGCCATTGTCCTCTGGTGTCAGGTCACGAATCTCTGTCACGACCTGTCTCTGTCTGCGTCTTGTGTTGCCTTCAGTGACTGTCTCGCTCACCGTGGTGAAGTACTTGCTTGGATCAGTTAGTTCATAGTTTTTTCTGGTATGATGCCATACAACATGCACCTGATTACAGTTCACAAAGTCATAATGTGCCTCACAGGTTAGTTTGATCGATGAGCCTCTGTCAGGAGTGAAGGTTTTATGTTGGTAAAGGACCTCTAAGATGTCTAGAACACAAGAAAACCCAAGAGAGTGAGGCAATCTGCACCTTGTTATAGTCTAAAACACACTGATATACTTTCCAGACTGTAGCTTAAAGGAATCATTTCGTATATTTGATTCACTTTCTTGCCAAGAGTTAAATCAATAGCTCCCACTCGTCTGTTTGTATCCGTCTACAACCGGTAGCCTGTTAGCTTAGCCTAGAATAAAAACTGGAAGTAGGGAAACTGGAAATAAGGAAAACAGATGGTTATGTGTCTGAATTCTTCTTGGCCAGTCCTGTTGTCATTGTCAGCTTTTCAGAATAGGGAAATGGAAACCATAAGATGCCAAAAAAATGAAATGAAAGATTTTAATATGCTCAATATATGCTCACAATAAAGACACTAAATGACAGATAAACAGAAAATGCTTGGATCAGCAACGGGTTCCCGGCCTTAGGCAACAGATGCTGTCTGTGGAAGTGCATCGTGCTAAGCATAGTGCGGAACCTGAAACCAGAGTGTCAGGTGATCCGAGCCTTTTCTGTGTTCTACATGCCATTTAGTGCAATGGGCATGTTAAAATCCTCCATTTATAGCACTTACTGACCCTCTGGCCACTGTTTTACAGATGATAACAAGCTTAAGCATTCAGATGAAACTGACACGCTATAACATGCTGTAGAATTATCACTGATATTTTAATATTATGCAGTGGTTTATTTTATTATTAGGACTGAAGTATTACTTGTGCCTTCTAATAAAACACAAATTGTCTCCTGACAACAATAATCTTTTACAAAGAAAACATCAAATGTGTGAAGAGGGCTCATATAAAAAGTTGTCCACTAACCTTCTTCCTGGGCAGATGACACACACACGGTCACCACCAACAGCACCACAAGTCCAGTAAGCCAAGTCATTCTCGTACACACACTGGACAGTTACACTAAAGATGAACACAAGGGCTGCAGCACGAGTTAAAAAGGAAGAAGCAATGTGAAAGTGTCACGATACCATTAGTGATTTCACATTTGCTCAGAAGCAGGGACACCTCTGTCTGCAGATGTAAATGCGGATGTGTGGGTGGAGGATGTGCATCTCTGTGCACAGCCACAGAAGTGTTTCCATTCTGTCTGACCAAGACAAACTGAGCACTTTGTTCGGGTGTCTTAAAAAGATCTCCTTTGCTTTGTTGACTTTTTTCTCAGAGGTATTCAAAATAAGATTTTTAAGCTTTGCATGCAGCAAGTAATTTGGGGTCTCAGGTAGCTCGTCCTAGAAACTGCTTTTACTCACCTTTATTTACTCCTTATCTGTGCTACTTAAATTTAGACAGCTGCTATAAAACATCACACACACTGTATATGCTGTATCTGTCTTTATGCATTAAAGTCATATTAAGTGGAAGACTTGTCTGATTCTGGATTTCTGCATCGCAGCTCACGTCAGACTTTGTGACTTAACAATGATTTAACAGGTATGATGTTATGAATGAGGGGCAGCACACAGTGGTTAGTGCTGTCGCCTCACAGCAAGAAGGTTCTGGGTTTGAGCCCCGACCAACCTGGGGCCTGTCTGTGTGGAGTCTGCATGTTCTCCCTGTACTTGTGTGGATTTTCTCCAGGTACTCCTGCTTCCTCCCATGGGCCACAGACCTGCAGCTTAGGTTGACTGGTCACTAAATTGCCAGTTGGAGTGAATGTGAGTGTGTGTGGTTATTTGTCTACATGTCAGCCCTGTGATAGACTGGTGACCTGTCCAGGGGGGACCCCTCCTCTCACCCAGTGTCAGCTGGGACTGGCTCCAGTCCTCCCACAACCCTGCTCAGGAATAAGCAGTATAGATGATGGATGTTGTGAATGATGAATGAAAATAAATGTTGTTCCTATCTTCAGTTTTTTATTTACATAGCAGAGGCCATTTAAATGTTCCCTTTTTTTCAGTGAGTAATCTCTATGATTATCCCTGTTAAATATTAATGCTCATCCCTTTGACCATGACACTCCCTTCAAGGTTATTAAGTGTGTTGGCATGTAAACTTGTTAATTATTTTAATGTTATGTGAAATAAAGTTCACACATATTCAGTTTAGACAAAATCATGAAAACATGATGTAGTTTCAGAACTGGCCTGTGGGCATTTTCTGTTTCTTGCGAATAGG